AAATTTTAAACGAGTATGACTACCTTTTTGTTCATTAATTCATTATACACACTAGCTACACCATATATTTATACCTTTTAAAAACAAAAAAACAACAACTAAAAACTAATAGTGAACAATATTGTGTGCGTTCTTGCGCTATTCAAGTCGAAAATCTGATTACTGTCCGCATTTGTATTCTTTTAGATGAGAAAAATTCAAACGCGTTTTTAAAACTAGTTATCAGTATCCTATTAAGGGCATTCTATTGTTAAACGGATGTTGCAGATTTGGTAATTAAAAATTCAGTCCGTATGTACATCCATTTCAATAACCGTTTATGTGATTATTTGATCCGTCATATCGAATACTTAATTATATTAACTAATACTCAATATAATCCTAGTACTCTACCCAACCAATTATATTTGGCCCCATTGTATTTTATTTGAAAATAGTTTTTTACGTATAACGAACAGAGATTACATAATTATTTCACACTTAACATCTTAGTGTTGCAACTCTGATTTTAACTAATACTCGGTATTATTTCTAAGCCCTAAATTATGTATTTATTCATATTACATATCTAATTTAAATTTCTTAGAAATATAATATAATCACTACTAAAAATCGCAGTTTTACCTGCGAACATTTACCGGCGGACGTCGATCCGCCGCTATTTACCGGCGGAATACTCTCCCAGAAATTAATACCGGCGTCTTTGTTCTCCAGTGATAATTAAAAAGCAATTCCAACGAAATCTTTCGCCTCTATTTGAATATTAAAAAAGAAAAAAATATTTTTAAATTAAATATTTTGAAAATTATTTATTAGTGGCGGTTATTTTCGACACTAAATCTAAAATTAAAAAGACAATACTGAAGCCCTCTTTAATTTTCAATCCTAATTCCCATCCGAACTCCCAAGTCCCAACTACTCATTATTTCAATATTCATTAATATAATACTCTAATTATATTAATGAGTTCTGACCGTCATTAATTGAAGAACTAAATGGAGCATTATTCTCAATTAATAATAATCATTTCGATAATTAGTTAATTTTGAAATTAAGCTGGGATAAAACATAGTTATTTTTTTATCAAAGTATCATTTTGAAAAATTGCCCTAGCTAGTGGGCGTTGCGAAGTTGTTAATCAAAAAAAGAGAGTAGCAATGCAGTATACTCAAATTCAATTTCTCTCAATTGCATTGAGATGCTAAGTATAGAAGATCAGTTTAGGAAAAGCGTTAGAATTTATAGTTAGAGCTCAGAGTTAGAGTTTAGTTGTTTACATTAGAGTTTGTGATTAGCATTTCAATCTTTTACCGTTTGGTAATTGAAAATTCTAAAAAGCTAAGGAACTACAAAATACTAAAATGGATAAAGCTATTTGTACCCCAAGTTTTTGTACCCCGCAGGTTTGCACCAACACTGGGTGTTGGTGCAAAACTAATTTTTGTTAATGCACCAACACTTTGTGTCCGTGTAAATTTTTGTTAACGCACCAACACTTGTGTCGGTGTAAACCATCAAAATATTTGCGTATAACTGTGGTGTATAAATGGGTAGAACTTGTGGTGTAAGTGTAGCTAGCATATATGGTTGTACTAAAATATCCCTTTAAGCTTGTATCCCTAACTGCAGATCTCAAATTCGGCATATTAATAATAAAAAAATTGCAAACATCCCTCATTCCATCGGGGGTGGAGGAGCCTTTTGCGATTAGCCAGCCCTATGGGAAATTCAAACGATGAAAAAGGCTCCCCATTTTAACGGAAAACAAACACTAATAATCAATGCTTTAGCATTGTAGGGTCAAGACGTCATCACCAAACAAGCAAGAGTTTCTAGCTTCAAGTTAAATATTCGTGCATGCTCCATTTCATGCCACTAAGAGAATCTCCGGGGATGGACTTAGATGGTAATCCTATTTTTTATTTTTGAGAATTACTCTAAAAAATAAACACACCGTAATTTTTTAAATGAAAGTAAAAAGTAAAAGAAAAAAAGAAAAGGGGAAAGTGACACATATGCGTAAGAGCACTGGAAATGGTCATGAAGCCCCGGGGCTTCAAACTTTTTCTCTCTGCCACGTCAGCTTTAACTTACACCAAAAATTCACTGGAAATGGTTTTGAAGCCCCGGAGGGCTTCAAACTGGGGCTTCAAACCTTCATTTTTTACATTTTTTAATATACATCTTTTAAATTTAAATTAATAAATTTAAAATAATTTATTATTTTAATTAGTCGCAATGACACTAGTGCATTAAAAAAAATTCATTATAAAAAAAATCTTACATTCATAAAAAAAACATTAAAAAAAATTACATTCATACAAAAAAAATTACATAAAAAAACAACAGTACAAAGAAATCACTAATTATTCGAACGACTAAAGATATGCTCGATCAAATCCGCCGTTAGTGCATTGTGAATCTCTCGGCTTCGAATTTCTTGGTGGTTGCGTCGTTTCTTTTCTTCGGTGATTTCTTCGTACATAGGCACCTCCTCGTCCGGGTTGTATTGACAAATCGCAGACCCGTTATCTCCTATGATCATATTATGAAGAATAATACATGCGTACATGATATTCCTCATTTTTGTCTGAGAATAACATTTCGACGAACGATCTAGAATGTGCCACTTAGCCTTCAAGACCCCAAAGGCTCGTTCAATATCTTTTTTCACCGCCTCTTGAGCTTTTTTGTATGTCTGGCGTTTAAGACCCATTGGTTTGGAGAGGGATTTCACAATCGTGGAATAATCCGGATATATTCCATCGGCCAAATAATATCCACGCTTGTAAAGCGTCCCTCTAAGCTCAAAAGAGGAGTCTGGTGCGGTCTCATTAACCCAATCGTCAAAAACATGCGATTGATCGAGAACATTGATGTCGTTGTTCGAGACCGCGACACCGAAAAAAGCATGCCAAATCCACAAGTCATTCGAAGCAACAGCTTCGAGCATGATGGTAGGCTTGGGATGATCTCCCCGGGAGAATTGACCGTGCCACGCAGTGGGACAATTTTTCCATTCCCAATGCGTGCAATCAATACTCCCAAGCATGCCGACAAAGCCGTGTTTAGCGGCATGCCTTGCCTGCAACTGCTGGATGTCACTCGCTGTAGGCTTACGTAAGTATCTTTTATGATAAATTTGAATAATAGCTTTTGAAAATTTATAAACACATGACCTGATGCTCCGAGCCGACATCTTCAAGTATTCATCGAACATATCGGATGTCGTCCCGTACGCCAACTGACGGAGCGCGGCAGTGCACTTCTAGACGCTATTAAACCCACGTCGGCCTCTCGCATCAAACCGTTGGGTGAACCAAGGAACCTCGCGTTTAACATCGGCGAGTATGCGTAAGAAGAGATGACGACTCATCCGAAAATGATTACTAAAATCCTTCGGTGTATAAACACACAGATTATTAAAGTAGTCGTTTAGAAGTGAATCGTGGGCGGCCGCTCGATCCCGGTTTAGACGTTGGCGTCGGATTCGTCGTCGGGAGGATTCGGCTTCTTCTTGGCCATCTTCCCACCATTGAATACAATTCGTCGCGAAACAACGAAAAAATAAAGCTCTTCTTTCATCGTCGGAAGATGAACCCATTTTTAAATTATATTTTATAAATATTTATAATAAATAATATATATTTTAGAGAGAATATAAAGAGAGATGTGTGAGAGAGAGGTGTGAGAGAGATGTATGAGAAAGGGGGATTTTATAGTTTTTTTTAAAATTTAGAATTTTTTTTTAATTGGGGGGGGGGGGAGGGGTAACAGCTATATAGCCGTTGGGGGGGAGGTAACGGAACGAATGACTGAACCTCGCTGACGCCCGTGTCACGCCGAGAGGGGGCGGTGTTTTACGCCCCCCGACGTTAAAACGCCCCAATCACGCCGGTGGGCGTGAGGGGTATTACCACTGCTCTAACTGGTTGAGAGTAACTTTAAGGGTGAATTTCCTGTTTGTGTAAAAAGGGTGCAACCCATTCCTTTATATGTTGTTTTAATACACTTTTTCCCAAATAAAACCAACCGGAGTAGGCTACTCCGTTTCAGGTTTTATTATTTATTCAAACGAAATAGCTTAATTTGTTTTCTCCATTTAATAACCAAACGGAGTTGGCTACTCCGTCTCCTTTTTTTTTATTTTTTTGATAAAATTTTCTTGCTTTGCTGTTCTAATTTTTGTTCCAATATATGCCACCTTCCTTTTTGTTCCAATTTTTTTATCTAAACCTTTATAAAAAAATTTATTATAAAAAATTTTTATTTTTTAGTTTCTCAATAAAATCAATTAATTTTGTTTACTTATAAATAAATTATAAAAATAAATTATTTACAAAATAAAGAAAACTTACATAAAGAAAATATATATGCAAAAAATGTACTATAATAAAATTTAAAAATAAAACTACTATTTATTGACTTTAAGTGAACTTTATACAACGAAATTAAAAGAAGAACAAAAAATACAAAAAACTTATTGATTGAGTACATATAATTTATTTCTAAAAATAAGATTACAAAACATAATACATGACTAAATTATTGTGTGAATTTAATAATACATAAACTAATACATAACTGAAATTCATGACATAGGTATTCCTCATTGCGACGTCTCCGTGGTCGATAGTCCATGTTATTCGGATAGCGGGTTCTCGTAGGTCAGCCGGTTCGTGTCCTCTGTCGCGGCATTGGTCTCACTATCTTATACTCTAGAGTAGGCCATTCAGCCTCATCTGGTAGCGACATTGTAACACCATAATCCGTCCAGGTCTGCAGCCCCTTTCGGACTAAAGTATTAATTTGGCAATCGTGGTAAATTAAAACATTTCAAACATCTTTATTCATTATAAATAATATTCCATACATAACTGTAGAATATACAGAGTGTTTAATAATAATGCGAAGCGGCTTTTAAACATGTCTCATAACAAACATTATTATTTATTTTGTCCATAAATCCCCCACGACTGTCTTGCCCCTTCCGCTTCCAAGAATATGTCAATCATTCATTCTGCCTACCTGCGTGTAGCAAATAAACACACTACACGCTCAGCAATCAAGCTGAGTAAGCATATCTAAAGCATCGAACATCCTCATAAATTGAATCTCAATTCATAATTAACCATTTGATATCATGCACACAATATATAATTAAAGCATTCATGATATTCTCAATATTTTATTCCAAGTCATTTCGATATTCAATATCTCAACAATGCTATTAAATTATTCTTAATCTAAGGCCAGATCATTTTATAACAAGCTCTTAGCTATCCCTAGTCTAAGGCAATATTTGTAACGAGGCTCTTAAATTATAAATAGTCTAAGGCGGAACACAATAATCGATAATTTACCCTATGAGTCATGGGATTACGTACCAACCGAATAGTAATTTATCAAGTGGGTGATATCTGTTCTTGATCCTGTACGTACGTTTTAACCCTGAATTATGAATTGGTCAAGGAGGTATGTCTTAGAGTTCTTTTAGATATCCTTAATAATCACCATCAATTTCCAAGTGAGTATATCTTAGAGTTCTTCTAGATATCCTTAACAACCGAATAGTGATCTATCGGGTGGGTGATATCCGTTCTGGATCCCGTACGTACGCTTTAACCCTGAATTATGAATTGGTCAAAAAGGTATACCTTAGAGTTCTTCTAGATATCCTTAATAATCATCATCAATTTCCAAGTGGGTATATCTTAGAGTTCTTCTAGATATATTTAACAACATACATCATCCTCGTGATTACCAAGATATCCATTTTTAGTCATGATTAAATCATCAATAATCATTTTAATCAGTAGACTCGTCATTCCTAATCATTCTTAATAATTATTCATCATAATGATCAATCAATATACTCCATTCGTTTTCAAAAAGAGTTCCTACTTTGACAAAATGTAAAAATAAGGAAGTGTTAAATTGTAGTTGACTTTCAATTTTGCCCTTGATGTGATGGGTAAAGTAAGATGTGATGGATAGATTATTAGGGAAAAATGTGACGTGATAGGTAGGGTATGAAAAAGTAAGGGTAAAAGTAGTTTTTTTAATAAAAAGCGGAAGTCTTTTGTTGAAAGTGAAAAAAATGAAAGAGGAAGTATTTTTGAGAACGGATGAAATATCATTCAATAATAAATAGCGGCCTAGTTTCGAGTGTTAACACCCGAGCTTACCGTCATGCATCATATAACATTTTTATTTTTTTAAAACATCATTTTTATTGTGAAAAATCATTTTCATAATGATCGTAATCAATTGGTATCAAAAATAGGATTTCGAAGCTTAAAAATAGCATTTTCGGATCAAAATTTTGGGGGATCGATCCAGTAGTCTGGATCGATCCCAATTAGAAGAAAATGCTCCAGGGGATTGATCCACCAAGTTTATTTTCAGCTCCTTTTCATCTTCTTCAACCTTCGGTCCAGTTTTCGAAAAAACCATTTTTAATCACCGAACTTCAATTAAACTATATTGAGATGTTCTCCAAGGTTCATAGATTATTTTGATATCATTAATTCATAGTTTTGACATCAAATTCAAGAATTATGATTCTTAGTTATTCAAGCATATCAAACACAAAACTCAACCAAATGACCATTTATGAACATAGAAACGACCTATATGAACATTCTAGTTATTAGATATATTTACGACTTACCTCGAAGCTTAATGGAGGTTTTGGAAAATTTCAAGCGAAACTTCCGACGACTATATCTCTCTGCTCCGGCGACCTCACACATGAACAATAGCACCACTGCACTCTTCTCTCAGCATGGAAAAAGATAGAAGGAGGAATGAATATTTTTGGTGATGAACTAAAGAAATTGGTTCTCCTTAAATAGACAAGTGAAGAAGGAAGAAGACATGGTGTGTTGCTGCTGTAATTGAGCGATGATTTGGAAGCGACCTAATTGAACAGGGCGCGGCGCCGTTTGTTGTGTAGTCCGTGATTGGGACTAATTTTTTGTCCTAGTCAGGGTACACTTTTTGGTCCCACTTTCTCCGAATTGGAATCCGATTAAACCGTTGTGGTCAGACAGTCAAACTCTACATAATGATACAATTTTCAATACTTATTGACAAACTTTATAAATCACTTATTTTTGGGTCCTTCTCAGTAATTAATTAATTATCAATTAATTAATTCTGATAAGCCTATTTTCGGGGCGCTACAGGCATTATGATGCCGAAGTAAGAGTTGATGTAGGACTGAATTGAAAAAACATTTGAAAACAAATGATCCACGGTGACACTACAGTAATGACATTCTGCGTGGACATGACTGTGCAGGATGTGAAATGTTACCCATTGACCACAGCTACATGTCGTGCATTTAAGTTCTCAGTAAATGTCTCCCAATGAGCAATGTTAGACAACCCATCCACCACCACAAAGTATATCCCTTGTTGTGCGTGGTGCTACACAACACGACAATAAAGCTTATTTTCTTCATTTTTCCTAATATGTTTCCACACATTCATAGAAAAATTATAACCGAATTGCACGCCTTGGAATCCATCTTGAAGTACATCACTACTTTTTTTGACCAAGAAAGGTATCGTAAGAGATATCATAATATACAACAAAGACTTCTTCGGAAGCTCAGAGTATTGAACTTCACTATTTACTATTTGTATCTCACCTTTCCAATGAGCTACAAGAAGTATACTTTTTTTGACGCATACAAGAAGTATTCTATTTGCTTCAAACATTGTTTATTTTGGTGTGTAGAATAATGGTGATGGTGTGTTTGAAATGGAGATATTCACTGGTATTTATAATATTTTGAGTGGGAGTAAGAATGTGTGGTTAGGTGGGAGGTGGAATGCATGGGTAGGTGGGAGTGGAAATGGGTGGTTAGGTGAGAGGGGGGATGCATGGGTAGGTGGGAGTGGAAATGGGTGGTTAGGTGGGCAGGGCCGGTCCCGAGAATTCAACTGCTTGGGCCGAGACCGAAAAATGGCCCTAAAGGCCACCTAATAAATTAAAGTATATAAATTAATTATATTAAAATGACAATTAACGTAATAGTATTATAACAAAATAAATAAATGAAAAAATCATACTCCCTCCGGTCCTAAAAACCTTTCTTATTTTGAATTTTTAATCAAACAATGACACTCTTTGACCACAAATTAAATATAATCTAAATAAATAAATGATATAAAAATTTGATATAACAAAATTATGTCCTAAAATGGACCCAATTATATTCAATTTATATTAAAATTAAGTATACTTTTCTCACAACTTATAGTCAAAATGTGTCAATGCTTGACCAAAAAAATCAAAATAGGAAAGGTTTTAAGGACTAGAGGTGTAGTAAATAAAAAAATCATATCAAATGTAGAACATTATAGGTGGCAATCGGATCAACTGAATCGGTTTCGGGTTGGATTTTTTCGGTTCGGATATCTTTCGGTTATATGTTATAATCGGTTCGGTTCAGATCGGTTAAATTTTGATTCGGATTTGATTTCGGTTCTATACATTTTTTGGTTCGGTTCGGTTTCGAGTCGGTTCAAATACGTTTCGGTTATAAATCGATTCGGATAGATTTCGGTTCGGATACAATTTGAGTCGGATATATTTCGGTTTTGGGTCTAGTTCGGTTCGGATATATTTTGGTTTCGGATCAAATATATTTTGGATATATATTATTTTCTAATTAAAATTTAACTATCCGTGTTTCTTTTTATGTTTTATCACATTTATCAATCTATCATCAATTCAATACCTCATACTATTTTATATTTCTTCTAGTTATATTATCTCTACCCTAAATAATCTTCCCTTTTTGACTTTTTAGTCATATTTTACAAATTTGGACTACAAACTATGAAAACATATATATTTAATTATGATATAAATTTAATATAATTAAATTGATTTTAAAATTTAGTTTTAAAATATCAAATTTTTCTCACATCTACTAATATATTTATGTATATAAATAAAAGGATAAAAGATAAATTCAAATAGTCTTATGTTATATTTGAATACAATTTGGTAAAAATTGAGTAAAATTGGGTGAAATTAAGTGAATTTTATTCAATTGAGTGCAAAATTTGTAAATTATTGAGTATATTTGGTTGAAAATAGAGAAAATTAAATTTAATAGAGTCAAATATAATTAATTTTACACCTAAATGTAATGGTGTAGATCAAATTTGAAAATGATAACAGTATAGGCTGCCGCTAGAGAGTCTTTTCAAAATGCTAACACTAGCATTTAATTTTATTGACTAATATTGACTGAATTGGTTTGAAACTAATCAAATTAACTCTCAAATCAATAAAATTTATAGTAATGAGATGAAATTAGGATAAAATCTAGTTATTCCATACAATTCATCATATATTTCTTTCATTCCAAACAGAATATCACATTTCACTATTTAAAAATTACGGAAATTTTATTTGTTTGTGCGTTATCACTTATATGTATAACTTATCTTTAATTTCTACATATAATAAATTTAAGGTATAAAATTTTGTACTTTTTTTCAAGAAGATAATCCATTTTATGAGGGAATGAACAAATAATGTAATTAGTTCAAATGGTAAAATAAAAGTAAAAATTTAAAAATATAATATGCTTATTGAAAGGCAAACATAGTTCTGAATTTATCGATTTTAGTTCTAATCGGGTTCAGATATTATCGGTTTCAGATCTAATCGGTTTCGGATTTTATCGGTTTCGGGTATTATCGGGTTCGGATCTAATCGGTTTCGGGTTTAATCGGTTCGGATATTATCGGTTTCGGATCTAATCGGTTTCGGATTTAAATCGGATATGAATTATTTAGTTCGGTTTCGGTTCGATTCGGATCATTTCGGGTTTTCGGTTATAGATCGGATCTTCATTTTTCGGGTCATTCCGGTTTCGGATATTTCGGTTCGGGTAATCGGTTCCGGTTTTGTTTTGCCAGGTCTAATGTTGAAGCATAAATTCATACATAACAAAGATTATTAATTAACAAAATAACAATTAACAATTGACCCTAAATTTATAAATATACTAAAATGAATAATGAATTTGAAACAAGTGCCAAAACCTCAGTCATAATCTGAACTACATCCATGATTAACATTCTCTTTCATTACATATATGAGCAAGTGCACTCATACATGGAGAATCACAGATCATAAAGATGTCAAAAGGATCAGATCCAATCCAATACTCCTTGATGGGTTAGTTTCCAGACAAATGATTAGCATAAAGATATTGTCTTTATTTACAAAATAGCAAAAAATTGACAGTATAAGGAAGTTTTTCATCTGAAAAAATTAATAATAAAAAATAAAAACAAACAAGCATGTTCTTTCTAGCCAATATCAAACAAAACAGAAAAAATTAATAAACACAAAAATGTGCATTAAAAACAATGTTAATAAAAGATTGAGATGAAACGGGAACTTACTGCTCAAAAACTTGGAGACGAAGGCGGAAGGTTAGATGGAATCTGAGAGATACGCTAGCGTGAATGGCTGAAATCTCAATCTTCACGCTAGAAATTATATATCAAACAACTGCTACTGAAGACTCTTCCGCCGCCGGAGCCTGGTCGTCCATTTGGATTGGAGACGCAAGAGGACGGCCGAATCTACAACTCTGGAATTCGGACGCTTGAAATTCTGGAATTGGACCGCTGGACGCAAGACAAAGCCAGTCGTGGAATGCTGGAGTCTCGACTTGGAGTACTGGTTAGGACCTCAAGGCTTTGGGCTTACATAAATATATTTAATGTTTAAAATTTTGGGCCCCAATAATTCATGGACCCGGTCCGATCCCCCCTATGGGCCGGCCCTGTAGGTGGGAGGGGGGATTGCATGGGTAGGTGAGAGTGGGAATGAGTAGTTAAGTGGGAGGGAGAATGCATGATTAGGTGGGAGTGGCATTTGGTGGTTAGGTGGAGGGGGGAAAGCATGATTAGGTGTGAATTATTCGTTAAATGAAAATAAATAAATTTTCCATTCAAAACATTACAACACATGATTCAAATATCCTTACATATCATAAATAATCTGAATTAATCAAACAAAGTTTAAAACATTACTGGAATAAAATGTATTAAACAATAGGAAAATACTAAAGATAATGGCTACCAGTACCACATCGTGTCCCACGTCGATTGCGTCGTGGTCGAAGATCCTGATCGTGTTCCTCGCCACTTCAACATTACCAAAAGTCTGAGGGATCACCGATGGTGCAGTGCCGGAGAGAAATTGAATTGCCCAAAATCATTCGTGAGCTAACTTTCTTGAGTAACCATATAATCTCCATCAAACATGACTAGTGACGTATGGTACATGCGCTGTGGAGGAGAAGGAATCTCGAATCGTGGAGTATATGAAGTGGATGGTTCGCCGATGCAAGAAGGTTTCTAGGTATCGCTCTCAACATAGTCCTCTTCAGTGTCATTCTTGTCCTAGGACATACGGGGAGATTGGATGGGGGTATGAACATCTTATCTGTCGACCTGCAACCTCCGCTGACCCCGCCCCCATGCCTAACCCCAACAGCAGGTGCATTGCGCCAACTCTCTGTCCATCTCCGAATATGTCCTGGATTATAGACTGGCTGCTCCTGTGGATGATCAAAGATACATGGATGTCCAAGAGCACATATACACTCCCCTAACAAGTCATGAACTTGCACTACATCGTGAGAAGGTACAAAACCATCTGGGTGCCTACCTGGCTCAAGGCGTTGATGGCAATCCGCCATACAAGATAGCTACACACAATACTATAATTAGTCTCGTACAAATTTATAAAAAAACTAAATAGAGAAATTTACCTAAATAGGACTAAAACATAATGACTTTCCCAAAATAGGATCATATGTTTTTATTTCCCAATGTAGGACCTTTGGTCATTAACAAGTAGTCATTATTCAACTAAATGTCCATCATTACTGGACATTATTCCTTCCACCAGGTCATTATTAAGTCCTATTTAGGGAATAAAAAAGTTTAAGTCCTACATTAGGAAAGTCATTATGTTTTAATCTTATTTAGTGCAAATTTTACAACTAAATATAATTAGTACGTACTGCGATCTGTAGCTTGGGAGAAATGGGGGCATAGCGGAGGTAATACCACTGACGATACTCAGGTGTGGCATCTAGCACCCCAAGTTCCATCGGTACATGTGTAGCATAACGTCCCTCCCATACATCTAAATAATGTCAATCACTGTCACCAATTTCCATAGTGTTCGACTTAATGTTATGTAGTTGTCTAGAGGAACATGTTGGCGGGCACCAAACTGTCTGCAAAACTGACCTGGGAAGGCCAATTCAATTGTGTTTGGGTTTTTTAAACACATTCCTTCATTATTCACTTGAATGGGAAGGCCAATTCAATTGTGTTTGTGTTTTTTTAAAAATGTGAAATGTAGCAAAGAATGAAGTTTGGAGTTATTGAGTTCTAGAATCCAAAAGATAGCAACAAATCAAGCAAGTTCAAACATATAACATTATTACGATGTTGGCCTCCTTAAACATTCATCAAATTGGCAGTTCATATAACATGAGCATGTTGATACGTCGCTATGAAAATCTTTTGCAATTTTAACAAAAGCGTCGCTATGAAAATCCTTTGTAATGTTAACAACACCTAACAAATGGTGTTCCCTGTTGTAGTTTTAAGTTGTTGGCAGGCGATTAGATACAAAAAAAATCTTTCTGGAAAAGAAAAATAATAAAATAAGGGTAATAAGTCTTTTAAGATCAAAATAAGAGTAAAATAGCGGTGTGATGGAAAAGTGATAGCAATGTGATTAGTCAGCTGTCGGCGATCCACGACGGCACTCTAAAGGCCGGCAGCGACGAATGACATTGTGACACCAATAGTGTGGTAGTTGTAATGTTACAATGTGATAAGTGTCGCAGTGTAACAATGACAGTGTAAACGTTTTGGTCTTAAAAGATTTAAAACTCTTATTTTAGTATTTTCATAGTTTTTAACTGTTATTCAGGGAGTTTCCCTACAAAAAATACAAACTTCTCGTGGTAGGAATCCTACTCTCCAAGAGTCACGAGGAAGTTCACTCAGGTTCGAGCTCCAGTGGAGGCAGAGACATTGGTTTTTTGTGCGTCATTAAATTGAAAAAAAAAAATAGTACAGTATAATCGAGTCAATTACACTAAAAAAGATACAACAGACACATTTTTCGTCTTCCATTTTACAATTAGTTCTTATTTTTGCAATATTATTAACTTTTAATATAAAAAAATCTTGTCATACTACGCACTAGTAAAAAACACATACGGCATCCGTCTTAAAGACTCATTATCTCTCTTTTAGGAAGTTCCAAAAAGATTCTTTTTCTTTTTTTAAAAAAACTGAGTGACTCCCAATTTTTCTTTTTCTTCTACATTATTTTCAAACCAATTTTTGACTAAATTGGATTGAAAATAATTTTAATCAAATGTACTAAATAACAACAAAAAAATAAAGTTAAACATGCCTATAAATTTTGAGTGTAAAAGCGTTGAACGTTGACCTCTCAATCTCTCATGAGGCGTGCTTCAATTGGTAGCTAATACAATCGGGTCAAAAGTCAAAACCAAAAACAATCTCTATCTCACCCACTAAAATCTTTTTGTTTTTGTTAATATTGCTACTAATAATTACAGTACAAAAAATGCTAGAATAACACACTTTGACACCACAAATAATAATCATTTGTAAATTTATAATATACACATATAATGTAACTATCTGTGAAATTTATCTGTTCATTAACTATTATATTATGTGTCTATATAAATTTAGAAACAATTATCATCCGTGATATCTAATGTCAAAAGTTATTTATATTTGTATGCCTAATAATTACTACTCCGTCCTCTCTCAAGTATTTTTCATTTTGTCCCACAAATGGATCAAGAAAATAAGAATAAACCAAGAAGATAAGAATAAAGATGAAATAAAAATTGATCAATATAAAACTTTTAATTTTTTATTTAGACAAAGTAGACAAGTGCTCCCTTCATCTCCAAATGAATTGCATTGTTCAATTTTTTTTATCAAAGTGATACAAACTTTTATCAATAAAAAAAATAGTTTTAAATAAATAAAAGTCATTTCAATGAAAAAATATTAAAATTAACTCAATTATATAAAATTTATACTCCCTCCATCTCTAAAAAAACTTTCTATTTCATTTTTTGCGCATCCCCATATACACATCCATACATGTCTATAATGTCTAAGATTCATCATATTTATCTTTTATTATAGGTAAAAGTTATTTTAGGGATGTTTAAGAAATTTTAGATAGTGTAGAAGCATTTTATGAGATGCGCAAAAATGAAACAGAAAGTATTTTTTAAAATATTTTGTGATCAAAATTTATAAAATTTGACCAAAAATAAGACGCATTGCAACCTACCAAAGGAGGTTGATGAGCACATAATAAATGAATCTTATCCTTAGTACTTAGTAGTAGGTAGGTTGTTACTAGTCTCATGGGTACCTCTCAAGAAGTTGAACTCCACAAGAACCAAGGTTTTTTTTTGCAAGTTCATCATATTAGTAACAAACCTAGTTTCGTTTTTGTAAATTGGGAGCAAGTTAATTATTATATTTAATAACCAGATCACCCATTTTTATTTTTGTTTATAGGATATGATAATTGTGATCATGATTCTACTGGTAATAACCACGAGATGGAGGACGACTTCTCATCATCTTCAACAACAACGAAAACCAGCAGAAGAAGCCATACATGGTGGTTAAGGATCACTGTCTACGCCGTCTTCCTCGTCGCGGGCCAGTCGTCCGCGACGCTGTTGGGAAGATTTTACTATGACAAAGGAGGGAACAGCAAGTGGATTGCAACTCTCGTCCAATCCGCCGGCTTTCCCTCCTTGATCCCGCTCTTCTTCTTCTTCTCCCGCTCCTATAAAACCTCTCCCCCTGGGCCCACGACCACAAGCTTGAGCCGAGAGGGAAATGGCCCACTCTGCCGCCCGAGAGAGCGGTTTGTTTGCCTGGGGTTCCTATACGTGTTCTTCGGGGTCCTCCTGGCGGGGGACAACATGATGTACTCCTACGGCCTCCTCTTCCTCCCCGTGTCGACGTATTCCCTCCTCTGCGCCACCCAGTTGGCATTCAACGCCGCCTTCTCCTTCTTCATCAACGCCCAGCGCTTCACGGCATTGCTCCTCAACTCCCTCGTCGTCGTCACCGTTTCCGCTGCCCTTCTCGCCGTCCACTCCGATGATACGACAGCGTCGAGAGTGTCCAGGGGGAAGTACGTGGCGGGGTTCTTGTGTACCGTTGGCGCTTCCGCCGCCTATTCCCTCTACCTCTCCCTCTTGGTTTGTGCCCTCCTCCTAACTCAAATCTTTTATATATAGATGTGCACATACATTATAGTATAGTATAAAATCACCAAATCAGACAAAACAAAAATAGAAAAAGAACAACTGGTTAATGAGATATTGAGTTGCGGTAGAAAATCAATTGAGCTTGATCTTCATATGTTTCAATATTGGTTTTCTTCATAAAACTTTCACATTTTTTAAAATGACTAATACATCCAAATAAAGTTATTGCAATATATTCTATCTATTTTGAATCTATATAATAAGTTTTTTAAAGTGATTTGTTTTTTTCTTCGACGCTAAGAATATAATTATAAAGTCAAATTACGAAAATAAATTTGCCAAGTTCCTTTAAAAAGAGTTATAGAATAATTGCAGCCTCTCCCAAGATAAGTCAATTCAACAATGTCATCAATTATTCCATAGTACTCAACATTAACGCCTTTCACAGCAATGCCCCAATTCGCAACTTTTTTTGTTTCTCCATACTTGTAAGTGTGAAAGTGAAATCCGTTACTGAAACATCCACTATAAGATCTTGCTTGTGAAAGTGGTCCTCGAGAAAGCTCAAACAAACATGCGGGTAACTGTGTGTGATTTTTATCGGCAAACATCTTAAACCATCTAGCGAAGTCCATCTTTCGTCTATAATCAGCCTCTCGGTCAGTGAGCAATGGAAACATTTGTCGAAGAAGAGTCTCGAAGTGTCTGAAATAAATAATCATATTAATTAGTCATCGTATTCGTATAATGACATTACAATTAAAATGCTTCCATGCATCACCATCACACGGATGTCCTAGCATGTCACTAGTTATTTCCATGTTTCTCGCATGCCATGTCATTTGATTGTTAGTTTTGGATGACATGTACATACGCCTTAATCGATCAATAATGGGAAGGTGACGATAAATTTTCTTAGCTATGGGTTTCTTCCTTACTCCTCTATTCATCGTAGATTCAATATAGCGAGATTTACCACAAGTTGTGCATTCTAACAAATTCATTGTATCTTTATAGTAAATCATGCAATTGTTCGGACACACATCGATTTTCACCATCGGTAGACCTAATCCTTTCATCATATGTTTCACTTGATAAAAACTTTGTGGTAAACAGTTATCATTAGGCAACACCTCTTTGAAAATACTAAGTATTTTGCTGAAACATGTATCCGACATGTTATATTGACTTTTAACACTTAGTAATTGTGCCACTATTGACAATTTTGTGAACTTTTGGCAGCCTTCATATAATGGTGTTGATGAATTAACAATCATTTTATAATATTGTTCTGCAGAAAAGTCTTGATTCCCATTACATTCAACCTCGTTGTTCTCATTATTCCCTTCATTATAATCATCCTCATCATCAAAATTAGGTTGATTGTCTTCATCACATTCTAAAGCATAATTATGATTATACACTAGCCCAACATGTTCAAAAATCATTTGCTCGAAATTTGACTCAAATATATTTGGTGACTCCTTTTCAGGTTCATATCTTTGAGAGTTTGATGTCTCCCCTTTGAAAAAATCAGAAGATGTTCCCAACTTCTCACCAGGACAATACCAAACCTCATAATCCTTCATGAATCCATTCTTTCGCAAATGCTTATCAATTTTAATAGAACCCCAAAAATATCTTAATCCACATTTCTTACAGGGACATTTTACCATATCTTCATTATTGGCAAATGCAACTTTCATAAAATCTTGAACACCATTTAAAAATTCGGGATTTATCCAACCATTTTCCATCAAACGTTTTCCCATCCATTCCCTTCTATTTGACATTAGTAACTAACCTACAAGAATTTAAAAAATTGTATAATTAAATTATAAAAAATTCATGAATATGCTAATTTTTGTATAAATTAAATGAAGAAGTATTTCAATCAATAACATAATTAAACTAAACGTAACTACAAAAATTTATTATCTAAAAATTGATTTAAATATACAACTCTTGCATTTTAATAGATGAATAATAATAATAATAAACAAAGAATAACTCAAAATCTAATATTCTATAAAATATAATTACATACCTGAGATATGGGACTGTAAATTTTCTGATGAAGTAGAAGCAATAAAAAGATTTTTGAATGAGGATAGTCCTCATATTCTAGATGAGTATAAATAGGTAAATAAAATAAAAATGAAAGATAATGTTTAAGGAAGAATAAAAATTCATAAAAAGAAAAGTATATTAAAGATTGGAAGATAAGAAAAGAATGACTTCTAAACACAAGATACTGTACTAAAAATATAAGCTTCATCAAGAGATGGATATTGGTCTCTCATACTTGTCTCAACTTCTGAGACAGATATCCGTCTCCTTTTTCGGTCTTTAGTTTTTGAGACCGAATTCTGCACCTTTTTTCTGTCTCTCTATGTGAGACGGAAATCTGTCTCTTTTTTCTGTCTATTCTGCACTTACATTCTTGTAGTGAGTCAAAATAGAAATTTTTTTTGTAAAGGGAGTGAGTATGAAACAAATACCAATAGTATGTGTGGAGGTGATTTTCTTAATTTGTAAAAAAAACTGGAATACTATCTTTTTATTTTTTTTCAAAAAATTAAGTTTTAATGTCTCACATTCCGCTAGAAATGAAGTTCTAGATAGACACCTGGACTAAAATGAGGAGCCAACATTGCCTCTAGATAATATAGTTTTGATTTACAAAGGGGTAAACTAAATTATATTAGGTCATAAGACACTTGATCAAAACTAGTAAACAGATTATTGAACCTATTCTTTTACCTAGCTTAATTTTTGACTTTATTAAGCCTAAGTGTGTGTGTGTGTTGATTTTGTATCTTTTAACAGGAGTTGTCGTTTAAGAGGGTGATCAAGCGCGAAACATTTAGAGCAGTGCTGGAGATGCAGGTATACCCGTCATTCATCGCGACTTGCTGCTGCGTGGTCGGGCTATTCGCTAGCGGAGAATGGAGGAGTTTGAAGGGGGAGATGGAGGGCTACGCGAAGGGGAAGGTGTCCTACGTAATGACCTTAGTTTGGACCGCTTTGTGCTGGCAGATTTGTTCGGTAGGGCTGTTGGGGTTGACGTTCGAGGTTTCTTCCTTGTTTTCCAACGTCATAAGTACGTTGGCTTTGCCAAGTGTCCCGGTCTTGGGTGTCATATTATTTGGTGACAAGATGGATGGGGTTAAGGTCATTGCCTTGGTTCTTGCAGTGTGGGGATTCCTCTCTTATGTTTATCAGCAGTATCTTGATGAGTCCAAGCCTAGGAGGAAAGATCCCATTGTGGTATAGGGCACTTTGGGACTGCATAGATTCATGAAATCAAGCAAGGGGTACCCCAATTTTGACTCCAGTTTTGACACCGGCTTCTTACATGAATTTATAGACATCCGGTGTGAATGTGAGAAAATTGGTGTCAAAACACGAGGCAAAATTGGTCGGGACGCCCCGAGTTTGATTCTAGATTCATAGAACTCAACTGTTGTGAGATGTGTGTGTGGTAGTGAAATAGGAGACACTTTTTCATTATAAAACTTTCCCACAAAAATGCAATACATGAAATCACAATGCATATTATAGATATATGTACATTCAAAGAATTTTTTGTAACTTTTTCACCAAACAGTATTCTAAGTGTTTCTATGAAGAATGTTTGATCATTTCATCTAGTCTTATTTTGTTTTCTTTTTTTGTGTCATTTTTCTTTCTAATGAATGCTTATTTGAATGAGCACATATTCTTTTCTCTCAAAAGTGTTAATTTGCAGACATTAGATGTATTATTTATACTTATCGTGTTTCAAAAAAAAATCACGATTTGACTCCATAAAATTTAAGAAAAACGCTGAAATATGAGAGTGATTTGTTAGAATTTGCTTAGAAGGAAATTTGGCAAGTAACGTTTACTCCGTTCCAAAATAAATTTGAATTTTGATTTCATAGAGTTTAAGAATGATATACTCCCACACATTTATACTACCAAAAGGATCGTGCTAGAAACCCACCACTGTACGGTTGCTTTCACTGATGACAATCACAAGTGATTTTATACATGAGCAATGCTACGTTCACAAACAAAATGGTCACAAACTTCACAAACTTACCATTTATGGTTTAAATTTTCATTTTAGAATTACTCTAGACCATTTAAATTTTTTTATTGAAGTTCACAAATAGTAAGTTTGTGAAATTTGTGACCTTTTTGTTTGTGAATCTAGCATTTCTCTTTATACATACACAAGCAATAATCATTTGTGTTCACAAACGATTATCGTTTGTGGATGTAGTTGCAATTGTCATCCGTGGAGACACGGATAGTGGATTCCGAACATTTTTTTTACCAAAATACCCTCCGCCATTCTCACTTATAACTCACAAGTGCCAATACAGTGTCCCCAGTGTCCAAGTCACCAGTGTCCCCAACCACAACAACAAACCCAATAAATCTCAACTAATGGGGTCCATTTGGGAAGTTTTGAAAAATTGATATGATATGGGTTCTAAAATCTAGAAGAAACGATACGGGTTGTAAAATTTGAAAAGAAATATTGGATGAAATCTGAAAAAATAGTTGTTAGTGATAGGCGGGAGATGGCTCGCGGCCGGCAACAGTGAATGGGCAGTAGGGGCGGGTTGCGGGCGACAGTGGCCGGCAGTGGGACAAGATCTAGTCTATTATTAATTCGAAGCAAAAATATTATCAAATAATGAATCTTTCAAACTCCATTGACAAATGGACTGACTATGATCTAAAATCAATAGTACATCTCAGAAAGTCAATTGTTATCATCAACAGAATACATTTTATATATCCTTAAACAACACAAGTTGATCACAAAAGCAAAACAGTAGAGTTGAAAGGAAAGATTTACACTATGTTTGGTTCAAGGAAAATAAAACAAAATGGTTCTCTCATTTTCCCCATTTTCTTTTCCTTTGATTTTTTTTCTTTTCCTCTCTCACCCAGCAAGAAAAATTGTTTTCCATCTCATTTTCTCTTCTTTTCACTTTCAAATTCCTTGAGCCAAACACAATGTCAGTGTGCAGGTGGAAAAATCCGGGAATAGGGAGAAATAACACGATCTTGAACATATACCTTGGGGTTACTGGGATCAGGGACCCAATGAATCTCGCTCAGGTTAGGAGTCTCAACAAAGGACATAGTGAACTCTCCCACCTTTTCTGCCCTACCTCTCCTTCCGGCTCTCAACACAAGAATGTTGCGGTGGGGGGCGATATTGGCATACGAGAAAATGCCATTCGACAGAGTGATGATATCGCCGGGCTCAAACTGGTCGCACTCATCAGCCCACATCTGGAAATGGACGGATGCGGTCTCATCAGCCACTAGTGCCAAGCATGTCTTCTGTTGCTGTGTGTCTGCTGATGATGATGATCTTCCTTTGTCTAAAACTATGAATTTCGTGTTTATATTGTTGAATGCAGCTGGGACAATGTCTTTGAGAACTTGCATATCCTTTTCTGCAACCAATAATCCTGAAATCATTTCAAGATTTTGCAACACTATTGTAACAATTAACAAATATGTAGAGGGTGTTTGGCAGTGCGGTGGATTCTTTGAAAAGTAGAAGTCGTAACGCATAGGCCCAAAGCCTTTAATCCTAACTTTACCAAAACACACTTTGGGAGTCCATTTTGCACTCTCAAGTCATACGCGATAAGCAGAAATAGATTTGCCAAACAAAAAAAATAACTTTTGGACAAAGTAGAAGCTCAAAATTGTTCTCTAACACCAGTGCCAAATACCCTCGTTAGTATTCCTCACCCAAACGATAAAATAGTTTAACTCAACGAAACCAATGTGTAGAGTTTTCCTTTCAAAAGAAGAAGAAGAAGCGTAGAGTGTATTTTTTAAGTAAAGCATTATTGATTTACAGTATATGATTAGGCTGCAAGCAGTGGATAGATCATAGATGTCAATGTTAATACTTCTTCCATCCGAATTTAGTTTCTTACTTTCTAAAAAATCCCATTTACAAGAAATTAGATTAAAATGGCTAATAAGTCTATGAAATGTGTTTGTCACTTTGTCATTCATTAATATCAACAATGCACATACCTTATCTCTATAGTTTTTTAGATAATTCATCATAACTTCTTTGTTGAATATGGAATGTGGACAACTAATTGCACACAAACGAAAATAAAGAAAGAAGACACCTAAATCCAGAGGGAGTACATAAGTACATTATATGCAAAGATTGAAATCTCTTTATTCAAAGTTGTTCCACGACATCCAGGATATAAATTAAGAGAAAAAGCACTAGCGTAACTAAAAACAGAAATCGTGGCTCTCATATTAGCATCTACACTATGACAGAACATGGGAAAGGATAATTTTGTATATATATTTTTTCAATTTGTGTAGCTATAGTGTATACCGCCTAAACACCAAATAATAAAACTAAACTAACCTGTATATATGACAGGTTCATATCAATCCCATAAATAGTTAAGAGATGACTACTAATTGACTAATTCTTGGATTTTTTTAAATATGACTTTAAGCTAAACAAAACTAAATACAACAACATTACCCCAGTGCCTCAACGGCTCCCGCCCATTGCGGGGTAAGGGGGGTCGGATGTACACAGTCTGACCCCTATGTTTAAAACATAGAGCGCCTGTTTCCAAATGACCCATGATGAGCGTCGGAAGTTGCATTGACCAACTGCTATTTCACAATTGCAAGACGCACAGACAGTTTAGAGAGCCAATTTGTTTTATTCCATCATACCCCAAAGCCAAAACTAAATACGAGAAATAAAACTTAAATGTAACTTACGCAATAGATAGAGATTTAACTAAAAAGATTTTAGAAGAGGTTTCCAATCTCGAGTATTAACTCATAAGTTTGATTTGATCATAGACACAACAACTATTCATTTATCATAATAGTTTCCTTAGATTATTTGCGAGCACACAATAACGGCAGCTGATATTGGCGCTCCACTAATGTTAGTGGCACTCCACTTTGCCTTTTTATTGTCAAAAGTTTACAAACTTGCCCTTCTACTAGTAATTGTTATTGGGGTTTTACAGCCATTTTTAATCAATTTTTTTTATTAAATTTGATTTTTTTTAAGTTATGGGGTACTAGTTATAAATTGCATTTGGGTGAGAGTTGGGATGTTTCAAGAAAATCACAGCATTTGTGAAAATTTTAGAGATGAGCAAAAAGACCGAACTAGTCGATCGGATTGGACCCTTGAAAAGACCGGTAATTTTTAGGACGAGATCGATCTTTTTTTAAAAAATCAATTTGGACTAGTCCGATCTTCATAAAACAATATGGATTTTATGGGACCGGACAGTCCTGTTAGGACCGGTTTAAGTCCGGTTTGATCCTTATTTTTTATACGTAATTTTTTTAATTTTTGTTCTTTACAAACAAAAGATAAAAATTCTTACTCTGGATGATTTAATTTATTTTATTTCTATACTTCATTGATTTATAATACGGAGTAACTATTTATGCAACATAAATATTATTATCTTAAGTAGAAATTGGAAAAAATCAACGAAAAAAATAAATTTTAATGTTTATGTTTTATACATGTGAGGCGTTTTATTCTGTTATCACTTAATAGTAAATTTATAAAAAAAATGTGAAGTCTTATGCTCAATATTGATAAGATAAACATATTTAAATAAAAATAATTTTTAAAGTATAAATTTATGTTGGTCATGTGTGCATCAATTTTTTTGTGGCGGAGGCTATATATTGCCACGTTACAATCGAATGTCGTGGATGCTTGTGTGTGTTGAACGCACTATAAGACTATGGTATGCGCTTTTTCGAACACTAATTAGTTTTAGAAGAGTTGGTAGCGCCTGAAGTTCTAAAAAATATGTGTATAAAAATTATGCATTGATGTATAAGAAAGTATAAATATATAGATAGAAAAATTATATTTCAAATACATTACATATTTAGTCCGATCCCGGTCTAGTCTTTTGAAAAAGATCTCCCGATCTAATCAAGGACCAAATGAGCAACCTGTTTGTGTGAAGGACCATTTTAGTTCCATCTTTTCGGGTCTCAATCCCAATATATCTCGATTTATCTTTCCGTTCCTAGTCTTATTGGTGTAGCAGACACAAAAGCGAACTGATCAGATTCCCTCCGTCCCTAAATGTTTGTCACACTTCTATTATCGAGGTAAAATATTAAGTTTTTTTCAATTCATTTTAATTATTTACATATTGGTATAGAAATAAAAAATAAATTTATATATTAAAAAACTACATGAAAAGTTCTTCGAAATAAGAGGTGTCAAGAATATTTTATTTTATCAAATAACCAATAAAAACGTAGAAATAAACAAAAGTTCTCGCGACTGCTGAAAAAACAAACGTGAGATATATTTAGGGACGAAGGGAGTATGTTTCTTTAGCAAAATGGGTATGTTGTGAAAATAGAAAGAGGGTGTAGAATGGGAAAGACACTAACACATTATGAATAGCAATTTTCTTTTACGACAATAGCAAGTATTATAAGTAGAGGGGCAAGATAGTAAACTTTTGATAATAAAAAACCAAAGTGGAGCGCCACTAACATTAATGGAGCGCCATTATCAACTGCCCACAATAACCCCTAATTCACCTAAATTACTTAAAAGTGACAAACGCCACCAATTAGGTCTTATTGAAAGTAAGCCTAACCCTAAAACAAACCCCTAGGGTTCAAGGTTCAAAAGACAAAAGGTTCAATTGCATTAAGTTTTGTGAATTCTTAGCCAACACAAATAACATTCCCCAAACATGCAAACATTCAACTTGTATCTATATGTTTAATTCTTGATGATTAGTGTGTAATTAACTTTGTGGTCCACCAACGGCTCTTCCCTATTTTCCCATTCATAAAAGCTCATGTTAGGACCCTATTTTCCCATTCATATATATGCCGTCTCCCCGGCATTTCGTCTCCCCATTTTTTTCAAAATAGCCGTCTCTGCGTCTCCGTTTCGTCTCGTCTCTGTTCCCGTCTCCGTTTCTCTGCTACATAGCTCTAAACCCTACTACCCTTAGCAACCCAAAGACCAACCCTTAAGTTACTACTAAGAATAGAACATTAAGATTTGTGAAAAAACATCACCATAACAACTTTGCAGTAACACTAAGGTTAATAACAAAATCAGTTCGAGAACCTTGATTAGCAACACCACTTAACGAGGTAGCCTAGTACTAATCAAGTGACACTTAGCTTCTGGAAAAGTTCGGCAATTTAAAGCATTTTGGACATTTAAAGAATATCTTTTTAAATTAGATTAGGTCGCGATCCTAATTTGACCCAACTTAAGTAAAATCATTTGAAAAATAGTTCTCAAACACCTTTGATTTATTTTAAGAGTGGCAAAAAAGGCTTGAATTCTTTTAAGAATATAAAACTTGTTGGAAAATTTCAAACCCATAGACAGGTTTAACTTTAAGCAACAAGGTTAAATACTTCCTCCAAAAATTCTGGTTTCATATGCATTTTTTAAACAAAAATCAGATCCTGAAGGACTCCACAGAAGCTGACAAAAGCTACGGGTTCATGGTACTAACTGGACAGAACAAAGCTCTAGCACTCACCCTCTCTAGTTTCAAAAAATGCAGGGTCAGTACCTGCTCAACAAATTTTAAAAAAAAAACCCCACTCCATAGTAATTAAATAAACCCCTCTATTGGAAACTTAGACAGTAAGCCTTTTCTCCAAAACAGTCACTACATTAGGTGACAAACTAATGATTTGAATAAAAGAACATGTAAAGGCAGTAGCTAGTCTCAACCAAAACCATGGGGTAGATTCACATCTTAACACCTAGAGTGGGGAGTACATAATACTCAACTGATTTAGACAAGTCTTAAAACCAGAAAAAGGTAGTGAACATAATAAAATTCAGTCAAAGACCTGAACTTATGAAGAATCTGAAATATCATTGAACACCAAACAACAATCTTGAAGGGTACATAATCCACCCCTCTTGACACAGCAGACTAATGATCAATGTCAATGAATTGGAAATCAAAATCAAGCAGTGAGTTTTACTTGGAATGGCACTTTCGGAAAACATTCACTAAACACTGGAACCAAAAGAAAACTGAAAAAGTACTTGTTCAACACAAGTTGAAGAACAAAACCAAATTATAAAAAAAAAACAAGAAACTTAGGGTCCGTTTGGTATACGGAATTGATTGAATTGGAATTGAATTGGAATTGTAATTCCATGAGATTCAATTCCATGGAATTGAATTCACCAATTCCCATTCATTTTTTGCACTATCAATTCCAAATCCACATAATTTTTGTGCTACCAAACAACAGAATTGGAATTGAAGTCTTAAATTCCAATTCCAATTCCATAGTTTGAATTCTGTGTACCAAACGGAGCCTTAAGAAGAGGGAGCGGATACAAGATCCGAACCCGGGTAATTACCCTTGAGAAGTTGCTCTGATTTTCGATTCCGTCTTGGATTGGGGTTCTTGAGGCTGATTACTTGCTGCGGATTCTCCCGCTCCACAGAAGCCGACCCAAAGTAGGAAGGAGGGAGTCTTCGGCTCTTCTATCTCACATGCCTCCCTCTGATTCCACCATCTCTTGTGTGGCGAAGAGATGATTGACGATGTATGTTTATCCGGCTAAGGAGAAAGGCCGGAAAAACTCCAAGAATATTTAACCCATTCTCCAAGAATAATGAGTATTCAAAAATAGACTAAAAAGTGTATTATGAGTGTATTTTATAAATAATGACTAGAATGCAAATACGATCATTTAAGTGTAAAAATAAATTTTTTTTAATGCCCAAAAATACTAATTTAATAGAGAATAAATAAATACTACGTATTATTTTGGACTTATCACTTTATATAATACCTTTCACCTTTTCTTTTAGTACTCAAATTTTTTTCATTTTTCTAAGTTTTATATAAAAAAATAGAAAATCAAAATAGTTTAGAGAAAAAGACTAAAATATTAATAAAATATAAAAAAGTAAAAAAAAATAATTTATGTCTTTATTTCAAAAATAGGACTTGCAATGAAAATTAAATGTCAATCATGCAAGAAAATATAGATTTGATTACATTATGTGACATGTCTAATATTTAAAACAAAATCTTGTAATATATAAAATATACTCCATAATTACAAATATGTTATTTATAATAACTACTGCATAAATAAATTGAGGTGCAACGTAACCACAAAAACTTTTTAAAATTTAAATTTCGATATTTATACTAACTTTATATTGTAATTATTTTTTTTTCAAAAGTAGTTTTTTGTATTTAAAAAATAATAATACTTTTTAGATAATAATAATATAATAATAACTTTCGTCTCTCTTCTAGAATGGCGAGGAAACGAGGGCGACCGAAGAAGAAAGAGGAATCATCGACGAACACACCACAGTCTGGATTGAAGGATATCGCAGAGGGAAGATCAGGATCAGATGTAGGTGGTTCAGGATCAATTACATCCTTCGGTACACACAATCTGAGCGTGAATGTTCAGGTTAGTGATCCAAATCTGGAAGTCGGAATTAATGGAAAATCTGGTAAGGTTAATAAAACCCCTTCTTATTCGGAGGTAGTGGAGGGGTCAGAGAGGATAGAAGTGAATCTGTCGTATATCCCAGCAGAAGAAATAAATGGGCTGAATGTAGCTAGATTTTACAAAGGAGGATGTATTAGAGGATTTGGGATGCTGGGATCGAGCACTGATTGTTTGTATATTAGGGGCGAATCCTCTAGTAGAAGTTATTGATGGATTTGTCCACCGCATCTGGAAAAGCTATACAATAGAAGAGGTTACTTTTATGAAGGAAGGGCAGTATGTAGTGAACTTCGGGAAGATGGAGGATAGAGATGAAATATCAAAGAGGAGATATTATTATTTTGACAATAAACCGATGTATGTGAGAGCCTGGAGTCCTGGAAGTCAAGTTGATATATCAGAACTTAAGGATATACCAATTTGGATTCAGTTTCCAAGTCTAAACATGAAGGAAGTATTGGAGCCTAACAGGTCTGAGTAAACTGGGAAGCATGAATGGGAAACCCATTAAAAGAGATAAAGCAACAGCTACCATGGCTAAGTGGGGATTTGCAAGGATTCAAGTGGAGGTACAGGTTCAGCAAGATTTCCCTGAAATTATCCATTTCACTGATGAAGAAGGGAGAGTCGCATCTCAAACAGTGGAGTATGAATGGAAGCCCACCATATGCTCAAAGTGTAAGAGAATGGGCCATAACGCTGAAATCTGTAGGAAGAAAAAGGAAAACAAGGGTTATATAAAAAAAGAATGATCAGGGTAGTAAGAGAATGCTTTGGGAAAGTCTGAGAAAATATGCTCAAAACATGACAGATCCATGGTGCTGTGTAGGGGACTTTAATGCAGTACTTGATACTATTGACAGGAAAGGGGGCAATCCCATCACTGAAGATGAGATACATGATTTCAAAGAATGTGTTGAGGACTGTGGACTGGAAGAGATCCCATTTGTAGGGTCCTATTATACTTAGTCTAACAAACAAGGACCAAGTAACAGAATATGATCAAAATTAGATAGAGCTTTATCTAATGATTTATGGATGGTTAAATATAGTACCAAAACTAGAATACTGAATGAGGGGGTATCGGACCACACTCCTCTGCTAGTTGATAGTATTGGTAGTAACAAGGGAACTAAGATTTTCAGATTTTGTAACATGTGGTTGAAGGATAAAGAGTTATCCCAGATTATGGCAAAGGAATGGGTAGGAGACAGTTCAGAAAGGAGTATGTATGTTCTGGTTAAGAATATGAAGAATCTTAAAGTACCCCCGAATAGAATGCATAAGAATAAGTACAGAGGAATCCACCAGCAATGTGAGGAAGCAAGAGAGAAGCTACAGACCTGCAGTAGGAAATCAAAGTAACCTTTACTGATGACTTGTATGCCAAGGAAAAAGAACTCATTGACAACCTGCAAAAATTACTTAAAGCATCTCATAGTCTGAAGTCTCAACAAAGTAAACAGGAATGGATTGAAGAAAAGGATAAGAATTTCAGGTTATTCTTTGCTTGGATAAGAAAGAGGAACATGCAAAATCAAATTATATCCATCCAAAATGAAGAAGGTACAACTGTGGAAGGGACAGAAGAAATAGCTAAGGTGTTTGTGAGATATTATTCTAAAATACTAGGGACAAAAACTGAAACCCTAGGTATTGAGGATAGCATCATTAAGAGTGGTAAAATTCTGAATTTGGAGCAGCAGATGAGTTTGGTCAGACCTTTTAACTCTCAACAAGTTAAAGAGGTACTGTTCTCTATCCCAACTAATAAAAGCCCCGGGCTAGATGGGTATGGTAGTGGCTTCTTCAAAGGACAATGGAATGTCGGGGAATTGGTAACAAAGGCTGTCCTGGACTTTTTCAAGGAGGGCCAAACACTGAGACAAGTCAATGCCACTAATTTAACCCTTCTGCCAAAAGTGACAGATCCCAAGTGGCCATCTGAATATAGGCCTATAGCGTGCTGTAACACAATATACAAGGTGATATCTAAGTTGATTAGTATGCGACTGAGAGAGGTACTACCTGACATTGTAGACCTTAACCAAGGAGCGTTTGTTCAAGAAAGGGAATTAATACACAATATTCTGATCTGCCAAGAAATTGCTAAGGGGTATAACAGGAAAAATTTCTCAGCTAGATGTATGATGAAGTTGGACATACAAAAGGCTTATGAGTCAGTTGATTGGAAGGCCATTAAAGGTATACTTCATAGCCTGATGTTCCCTGATTTGTTTATTAAATGGGTTATGTTCTGTATATCTACACCAACATATACCCTTAGCATTAATGGGGGGCGATATGGGTATATAAAGGGAGCAAAAGGATTGAGACAGGGGACCCAGTATCTCCACTGCTATTTGTGTTGGTGATTGAATACTTGACTAGAAGTTTCAGAAGAGCCGTACAGAATGAGAGGTTTAGGTATCACCCCATGTGCAAGGACCTGAAAATTGTGAATTTGTGCTTTGCTGATGATCTTATAGTAGTTTGTAAGGCGGATAGGTCTTCCATTAATTGCATCATGAATGTACTGGAGAAATTTAAGAAAGCAACCGGGCTCAGTATCAACATACACAAATCAGAGATAGTGTTTGCAGGAATTAACAATCAATTGAAGGAGGAGCTCTTGGGGTTGACTGGGATGAAACCTGGTAGGCTGCCTTTCACCTATTTAGGTAGTCCTATCACAACGTCCAAATTGAAGAGGACTGATTGTGATACACTCATAAGCAAACTGACCTGCAAAATATCAGCATGGGGGTCTAAACATTTCTCCTATCAAGTAAGAGTGAGAATTATTAATGCAGTGCTGATGGGGATAATCTCATTCTGGTCCAGAATTTTTATCCTTCCTAAGCAGATTATGAAAAAGGTCATGGCCATCTGTAAGAATTTCTTATGGGGTTGCTCATACAAATACATGAAGGTGCCTCTAGTGAAATGGGAGGAGGTCTGTCAGAAAAAGAAATATGGGGGGTTGGGTATTAAAAATGCAGCAAACTGGAACAAGGCAGCAATTATGAAACTCAATTGGGATGTTGCAGATAAAAAGGACATACTCTCGGTAAAATGGGTACATGGAAGATATCTCAAGTCAGGAGACTTTTGGGAGTATACCCCTAGCCAAGATTCATGCTACTACTGGAAAGAAATGATCAAGGTCAGAGAGGTATTTAGAAGTATGCCAAGACAGAAACAGTATAGCATAAGGGAGGGGTATGAATGGCTGCAGGGTGAAGGTAATATCCCCCGATGGAAGGATTATGTCTGGAACAAACTTACTCCCCCAAAAATTCATTTCATTACATGGCTACTGATGAGGGGGAGGTTACAAACTAAAGCAAGAATAGGGAAATACATTAACATATATACTGACTGTGAGCTATGTGGGCAAGCTGAAGAGACTGACATCCATCTCTTCTGGGAATGTCAAGTGGCGCAGAGGATCACTAATACATGCCTTAGTAACCACAACATACCAGAGAGAGTGATGAAGATCCAAGATTTGGATAGGATTATTCAGAATAAAGGGAGAAAGAACAATATGAAAGTCTTAGCTATATGGACTTGCTGTAATTACAGCATATGGAGAATGAGGAATAGGAGAATGCATAAGGATATATGCACCATGGAGGAGGCCATACAATTTGCACTTTATTACATTAGTAGTTTTGTTTTGTATAGGAGTTAAATGTAGGGCGGCTATATTGTGTTGATGTATTGAAACTTGGTGTTTGGTAATGAAGTTGTGTTTATGTGCAAAAAAATATAATAATAATAATACAACAACAACAACCCATTTAGGTTTTAAAAAATAAGATCTAGAATCAGAATAATATAAAATTAGACTAAAATAAATTTTTTAAAGTTCTTTTTGGTTTTTCAATTTTTTGAAATTTTTTCAGTTTCTTCCAGTTTTTTCAGTTTTTCCAGTTTTTTCTAATTTCTTCCAGTTTCTTCCAATTCTTCTGTTGAATTAATATGAATTAATGGATTTTACTTAAGCAATAGAGGTGAATACATGTGAGTATATATAGCTAGAGATCCTAACACAATTAGGATTAGGATTCTTCTAATATGGTAACTAACTATAATACAATTCTACTATAACTAGGAATATTACTATAGTGTCTAACATCCCCCCTCAAGCTGAACGCCGTGAAACGAGTGGAAGCTTGGAAACCAAAAGAGTATAGCGTGGGGTCGGTAAGGCTTTTGTGAGGAGGTCGGCCAGCTGCTCTGCAGACGGAACATGCGACACAGTCATTTGTTCTGCAATGACCTGTTCCCGCACAAAATGGCTATCGGTACCCACATGCTTCATGCGTTTGTGAAAAACTGGATTCTTGGTTAAACAGATAGCAGACTGATTGTCACAATAGAGATGTGGTGGAGGGAGCTTGAGCTTCAGAATGTCAAAGAGATAGGAGAGCCACATCACCTCAGCAGCAGCAGCCGAGAGAGCCCGGTACTCGGCCTCGGTTGACGATCGGGATACACGACTTTGTTTCTCTGTGCTCCAGGAGATGAGATTCGAACCAAA